TAATTCTTTACATTTACATTTTTATGCGTAGAAACGCAAATTTGCAAAAAAGTGCTATTTCACGGCTATTTTTACGTTTTTGCAGCTCGTTGCGACACCCAGGTTACACGATGGGAGTTGTGTACAATGATCAGTACTCTGCCCCCTTGAGCGCCCACAACACAGCGCCCACTTCCCACTCGGCAAGCGCCACGATGGAATGGAACGACATTTGGTTTCTGCCCATTGCAGTGCATCTGGATGCCATTCCCCGGAATCCCGAAGGCTTTATGTACTTTCCTTATGCACACGGGGAATTTTTCACTTTGTACTTACGTGTTCTTACGCGTTTTTAAGCGTAAGACCGTCAAAACTATTTTATGCGTAAAAACGTAAATACGATCTGCGTAAATAACAAGCCTGTTGAGAATCATTTTTAGTGGAATTCACATGACCACAAGTCGCGCCAGGTATGCTCAGTGAAAATTGATCAGATGGATCCTTTCGAAAGAAAATAGCTCTTAAATAACTTTGATTAACTTATTTTGCTGTTAAGCAACCGCGAACAATGAAGAGCAGCTAGGAACTATGGGCTGCATCTGTTTCCTGATGTTTTCGTTATGGGGTCGCAATTAGATCTACGTGGCAATCGTGAATAATAAGGCATTATATTAGAAGATCACAGTCATAATTTGTCCCTCTCAAGCTTACTGATCAACGGACAGATTCCAGATATTTGTGACCACACAGTCTTTGAACTTTATCAATTACATGGATGGAACTCTTTCGAAATTCCGACATCGTGCAATGTGTTTGACGTCTCTCAGACCCAATAACACAGCTTTTGACTAATGCAATTATCTGCCAGTACATGTAGTTGATTTCATGATATATGTACATCTCAGATGTCCAACGGCACTGAAGTGCCACCATTAACAACTCCGGACACCTGCTGCATATTGAATTGCGTCAGGTGAACAATATTGGAAATGTGTAATGGTACAAAGAGAACTGCCAACCCACCTCACCAGGATATTCAGAGCTTGATATGCAGCACATAACAGCGGTTGCTGACTGACACAATGTACGCACTTGTCATGAGGACGTGCAAAAAGGTTTACGTAATGCCAATTTTTTACTGCCACCAAACTTACCCCTGTCTGGAGGTGTGGGGATGTCACAAATGGCCAGATCTCAAGATTCGGAAGTCAGGTGCAGATTATAGGATGGGAGAATCATGTTCTGGAAGAAATGAGGAGGCCTGAGCAAACGGACGTCACCCAAGGACGACTGGGGCTGGAAATCCATAACACAGAAAAACAGAGCTCACCAAATACTGTATTTTACACGCTTTCTTGCCACAAAATATTGCAAGCATCAATATTGACTAGTTTCCAATTGAATTCACCAATGGAGCCAGGGTGTCTCCTGAAACAGGCGCTGTTGCTCAAACATTTTGGCAAGTTCAGAGTTGGTTGTAAATCAAGCCGGTTTTGTCTCTCTGACCACGGTAACTTGCTGGCCCCGGGGTGAAGAATCTTCGCTCCTTCGGGGAGAAGCGGCAACTGCCCATGCCCTTCCATCTCACTAAGGGATACGGGGCGCCGGCGAGGCATCCGAGCAGCCTTTGGAAAATGCTAGAGGCGTTCGAATGGTTGCGAGCGTCCTCCGGGCACGGTTGAGGCCCGACAGAGTGACCGAGACCTCGGATGTCCCCCGGAAGTCCGGGAGACATGCGGACACTGCGAATGCGTCCGGGAATTTCTTGGACGTCAGGGACGTCGTGCGGGGAACGCGCGGACAGCTTGGTTCTGTCAGGGGACACCTGACAGCAAATGCGATGCGATGTCCTCCAGAGCAAAGGTATCTGGTAGGGGTCGTTGGGAACTACTCGAATCTCAACTGGCAGCGCTCAAGGGTGCACCCCTTGCCAGCTACCAGTGGCACTTCAATCATAGTATTTCTCAACAGCGGTAAATGTGTGGCTTGAAACGACGGTGGAGAGGCGCACCGCAGGACATCAAGCTACTGTTAGCGTATCCCGTAAGCGTGATCAATGATCTCGAACGACGAGTCGAGACTTCATGCTGTACGGCAGAAAAGATCGACCCACTCTTCCATAATTCGCTTCAAAAACCCGCAAGAGCGAACCTGCGTTACTAACAGAGAAGGGACTGCAGCTTGCAGTCTACAAGCGCCGAAAGATACTTTGGCAGGCGCTGTCAATGAGTGTGGTGGAATAACTCCGTGCACTCGACACACAAGCCGGTAAAGAACGTTAGTGGCGAAAATTCGGATGTCATCCAGAGATGCATAGCTATGCACCAGATACTGGCGTAGCTGGGGAGTACGCGTTCATAGGTAGATAAGGCCTTACCTCTGCAACGATAAGCAATCCGCTCATGGCCGCTGAGTGTTGAATACATTTTCCACGTAGCCAATGACTCCATTCGACTAACACAACATGCGATCATCACTGGCTGCCAGACCTGCTTATTGTTGCGATGGAATGGAATGCTTCGTTCCTTGATAAAACGCAAAGCATTCACTATACTGCCATGCATGAAGGTGGCATATATCAAGTGACACATGGCAGTGCTACCATGGCTGACCATTATCACCGCCTGCCTGCACACGTTTGAGCGGCTTCGTGCGGATTCGGCATTCGCACATGACTTTATTGCTTGATGTTCATATAGGAACTGGCCTTCGACAAGTGCTAAAAATTAACGCTTTCAACATAACGGGTGAGGTGGCTTGCGAATATGTGGCTGGGAAGATCCTTTCCGTCACACAAAACGTTATTGGGCAAGGGAAACCCGGAAATCTGCATGGCTGGGTACCGCCGACAACACAAGATCGTTGACTCAGCTTCAGTTGAAGGACGTTCTGTGGTTATCGTCCAATTCAGGCCCAGATATCTAGACACTGATGCTAAAGGCTTTAGAGGTAATGCGTTCTCTTGGAGGTCATACTATCCAACGTTCAAGATCTCCCGCATCCAGGCAACGGTTCGGAGCTGAGCATTCTTGGCCTCGAGGTTTTCGACAGCCTACAACGAGTCTTGGCGGAATATGTTTGGAGGAATAACAAGGACCTGAGATTGGGAATGGCAGCTATTTTTGAAGATAATTTTTGGAAATGTGGGAGCGTGTATGCCAGTTGCTGTCCCTGGCGATATGTTATTGCCAACTGCCTGGTCCAATACTTTAGTTCTGTTGTTTGATTGGGCTACAATCACTGTTGCATATTGGCAGCATGGCATTGAGAAGTTGTTTGCTCTTTACTGAAGCTGTTGGGTGAATTTTGGTGGCTCAATTACTCTAGAATTTGCCGGGTACAATAGGTAATGCAACTGTGTATTGTGTCAATACACTGCTTGACTAAACAATATGAACAGTTTTTGGCTGTGACGATCAATCTATTTGTTCACTTTCCTGCCATATGGCAAATGCATTTGTGCGGTGTGGCCATTTTTATAATAGGTTTTAGGTACGTGCACCAGTAAGACGAGAGATTGGGTATTTTAGAATACATGCATTTTCTCTCAAAATATGTTTTGGCATTCGATGAAATCTATTTGTCCTTATCTCTTCAACTGCATATGCCACCCAATATTAGCGCACCACTGCCTGCAGTTGGCGCCAATAGCTTCGGTGTCTGAATCATCGATTTTTGAGCCAATTCCGAAATTGGACTATTCCGGTGGTTAAATTGTTCATTCTAGTTTTTGCGCTTAGGGTATTCACATGGAATGCAGCAACCAATTGAATATTTGAACTGCAACGGTCTAAATTTCTGTTGAGACATATTCCGCCAAGCTTGTTCGCCAATCTATCAGGGCTGTTTTCGTGCTTTGTGTCTTAGGGTACACGAGTTAGTACGACAACAGAATGAATGTTCGAGATTGGTAGAATTTGTGCTTTTTATTTAACATGTTAGCACAGATTGCGGTGAACTTTTTTGGTCTGGGCGTTTCAGCGCACACAAACTGATGTGCCAGGCAGTTAGCTGCCTAAATCGGTATCATGGCTTACACGCAAATGTGTGAGCCCTAACCATAACCAGGTGGTAAATATTTTGGTTTTAGGGGTTAGGTACACTAAATGCAATGGTAACCATCGGCGACTTCAATGCAGCAGAGCTCTAGCTCGTTGCTAGCACCTGCAGACCAAGCAACCAATGCAATAATGCGGATTTCAGTTTCCGGAGGTGGAGATTACTACGATAAACCGTTGAATGTTGGCAATTCAAATGATTTGAGATTGTTGACAAGACGCACTTGACTACAACGCAATGCGGCTGTATTGGCCTTTCACTTTATGTGTGCAACACAATTACAAACCATTAACAGACGTTCCATGCTGCTTATTGTATCTTAACCCCCAGACATTTGAACAAATGTCTATGACCAGCACATCATAACTTGACCTTTTAGCAGCAGCAAATACTGGGGCGTCTTTTTTTTAAAGACTCATCACTTCGGAGAAATTCTTTTATCCATTTCAGGGCTTGTTTGCCACTGATCAGCAGCGGTTTTGACCTCTCGTATTTAGCTTGTATCCTTTTGTTGGCACACGCGAAAGCTATTGGCGTCACAGGTCTAGAAACCCCTCTCCCCCTTGCTGTCACTCTTTAAGTGCAAAATCGACGCATGGTCCCATCGACGAACATTGCGAGCTCCAGCCATGGTAATTGGAGTGCCGTACATCCCCCCCAGCCGTCGCTCCGGGCCTCAGGGCGCCTTGCCCAACGTCTTGCCCTGTTGAAGGTCGCGAAGGTCGCGAAGGTCGCGAAGGTCGCGAAGGTCGCGAAAGCCCCCAGAATCAGCGCTGGGTACCTGGCAGGCGCGGAATCGCACGGGTCTGTTGCCTGCGGCCGCCCAAGAACTCTCGCGGACGCCCACAGAGCCCCGCACGCCCAGCAGCCGCGGGCGGCAATGGCAGCCTGAGCATCCCGACAGGTGGCGTGCTCAATCGCACAGAAGCTGTGTGCCGTCGGCCCACTGGCCGCTGGGCATCATGGAATCCCCGCGATCGGTCTGCTCCGAGGCTTCCAACGTGAGCGCGGCGTCGCGCGTGCCGGCCTCGATCGCCGGCGCATCCCGGGACGAGCTGCAGCGCAAGCTGCTGGAGCTGCTGAAGCGGCTCAAGGCCAGGGACGCCAAGATCAAGGAGGGTTCGGCCAGGTTGCAGGCGGGCGCAGACCAGCTCGCGTCGGCACAGCGCGAGGTCAAGCGGCTGAGGGACGAGGCCCGGGACAGGGACGCGCGTTGGGAAAGGGAGCTGGCCGACCTGAGGGCGGGCGCCAGGGAGGCGGAGGAGGCCAAGTCGCTGGTGGCGTCCCTGAAGGCGGGGCTGGAAGGGATGGCGGAAGAAAGAGACGCGGCTTATGCAAAGATCTCCGAAGGGAAGGAGAACGTGTCCGCGCTGGAGGAGGGCCTGTCCCTGGCGCAGGCGCGCGCCAGGGAGGCGCAGGCCAGGCTGTCGGAGGTCGAGGGGGAGGCCCGGCGGTGGAGGGAAGCGGCGGGGAGGCTGGGGGAGCTGGAGCGCGGGCTGGGGGACAGGGCGGAGGCCCTGGCATTGGCAGAGGCGCGCCAGGAGGCGCTGGAGCGGCAGCTGGCGGACGGGCGGGAGGCGATGGAGGCGATGAAGGCCGCCCATGCAGAGGCGCGGGATGCGGCGAGAAAGAGGATAACGGACCTGGAGGGGCAGGTGCGGGATGCGATGAAAGGGGGGGAGGCGGGGGGCGGGCTGGAGGCGGCGAAGGCGAGGGTGGGTGAGCTGGAGGGGCGGGCGGCCGCCCTGAGGGAAGGGGGCGGGGGAGGAGAGTCCGGGGCATCCGCGTATGTGGAGGAGCTGGAGGCCAGGGCGAGGGAGCGGGCGGAGCAGTGCGCGGAGGTGGAGAAGAGGCTGGCTGAGGTCCAGGGAAAATTGGAGGAGCAGAAGCGATATGCAGAAGCCCTGCAGGGCACCGTGGAGTCTCTGCAGTCGCAGCAGCAGCAGCTGATTGCGTCTGAGAAGGCTGCCAACTCGCAAAGGGGTCAGAAAGCGGCGGAGATCGAACAGCGCGGCAAGAAGGTGGAGGCCGATCTGCAGGGACAACTGCAGGGCGTGAAGCAGAAAGTGGCAGAGGCAGAAGAGCGAAGCGACGAGTTTAGGGAGCTGACGGCGGAAAGGCTGGTTGCTGAGAGCCCCAGGAAGCGCTTGGATGCAAAGGCACATGAACTAGAGGTGGCAGCGAAGAGTGCAGTGGGCAAGCTGGAGAAAGAAGGAGAGCAGCAGAAGCAGCTGACCAGGGAACTAGGAGACCATGAGGCCCAGCAAAGTGCCCTACTTGAGAAATCTCAATCGCATGAGCAGCAGTGCATAAAGCTCACAGAAGAACTCGCAGATTGCAAGAAGAAGTTCGCTGCGGCAGCAAGAAAGATGCAACAGGAGCAGCAGAACACAATGGGGGAGCTTCAGACTCGCATAAAACATCTGGAGGCTGAGAAAGCCCGATCATCGAGGCTGGAGAAGGAGGCCAGCGCAGCAGAGAAACTGCTCAAGGAGGCGCGATCGACAGTGCATGAACGTAGCGATGCACTTGGCAGCCTTCAGTCACAGATGGAGATGGCGAAATCCGAGTGCAGCAAGCTGCAAGGTTTGTTGAGTGAGAAGGAGGAGAGGGTCCAAAGTCTAGAAGGGAAATTGCAGTCAATTGTTGAGGAGCTGGAGGCGAAGTCACTGGAATTTACTGCTGAACGGGATGCCTGGGTGGCAGAGAGTAAGGCAGCTGCCTCTAAGCTGCAAGTGCAACTGGAGAGAAAATCGCATGAGCTTGTGGAGGCTCGGCAGGAGGTCGACCAGCTGAAAGAGGCCTCAGAGGGTGACAAGGAAAAGATGAAGAGGGGTGTTGTCGAACTGAAGAAGAGACTGGACAGGGCACGCAAGGAAGAGGTTGAAGCTGCAGGGCAGCGGGGCAGGCTAGAGGCGGAGATCGAATCGCTCAAGAGGGAACTGAACAGTGCCAGACAGGAAGTGGAAAAGGGTGCGGCCGACTTGAAAGAATATCGTGCCCGTGCACACGCCCTTCTGAAAGAGAAGGAAGCAGAGCTGGCACGACTGCGGTTGGAGCTTGAGTCCCAGACGAAAGTGGACGAAGGGCTGGAGGTGATCAAAGCTGAGCTGGAGGTTGTCCAGGTCGAAAGAGACCAGTTCAAGGCTGAAGTTTCTGAGTCTGAAGGTCGATTTCAGAGCCATCTGGACGAAATCACGGCCGATTTCCAGCAGCAGCTGGATGCCAAGAGTGGCGAGGCCCTGGGGTATCGGAGTGCTGCTATTCAGGCTGGACAAGAGGCGCTCCAGTGGAAGAGCCAGTACATGGAAGCGGAACAGAAACTGGCAAGCCTGCAAGAGGTAGCTGCTACTGCTCCGCCACCAATGCCCAGCACGCCGCCTCCCCAACCAACAGTTGATCGTCAGGTGAGCTCGCTGCAGAAGGAGCTGCAGGAGATCAAGTCGGAGTTCAAGGCCTACAAAGGCACAGCGGAGCAGCTTGGTGAAGCCAAGGATGGGGAGCTCTCTCGACTATTGGAGATCAACGCTGAGCTGAGGCAGCAGCTAAAGGTCTCCAAGACCAGTCCTATTGTGCCTGAAACACCGGAATCCAATGTTGGAGAAGACGATGCTGCTGTGGGGGCCAACCCTCCTGATGTCAGCGACGATTTCGAGTTTGGGACCTTTCTGAATGACCATGCGCTGGCAGCGCCAGTGACAAGTCCCACAGCTCAAAGCACCCAAGAGACACCTGTCGCTGCCATGGAGGGGACCATTGGAGACTCACAAATACTCGCCCTGGCCCAGAAGCAGGCCATGCGAGATGAAGCGTTGTCGGCAGCTGAAAGGAGGATAAAGGAATTGGAGTCAGAGGTGACGGAGCTGGAGCGAGAACTGAGGCTTAGACAGGAGCAAGAGAGCGTCTTGAAAGCAGCGGTGCGCGATGCGGATCGGCTAAGACAGCAGCAGGAGAAGATCGCCAGCGCTGGTAGCCTGGACATAGAGTACTTGAAGAACACGGTGATAAAGCTTATGGAGACAGGGGAGGCGGAGGTGCTCCTGCCTGTGCTGTCCAAGTTGCTGGGCTTGTCTGCAGATGAGGAGGCTCATTGCCGAGGGGCCATCATTGCACTGAAGGAGAGCAAGACGAGTGAGGAAGCAGCGCCCACCGCAGGGCTGCTGTCAGGGTGGTCGGGATGGACAGGATTCTGACTCAACCTGATCGAAGCTTTTGATTCATCATTTTAGGGATTTTTGAGGGAGGGGCCCTTTGGCGGATGGGCAGTGACAGTAGCCCTGGGCCCAGGAGTTTCTAGTTGCTTTCGGTACTGTTAGATGCAGTGGTTGCAGGAATTCTTTTTATAATGCGGCGGGACCTGTGAAGATGAAAAACTGCTGCATGCGCTTACCATGGGGCAAACGACCCACCCAAGGCACAGGCAGCAGGGGTTTGGCTACAGGGGCTGGCCAAATTTGTATATCGTGCCTCACCAGAACTGCAGTTCATCTTGTGGTCTTGGCCACATAGTGTGTGCGTGCATTATGCCAATGCTGGCAACACACAAGAATGCATTGAAGCAGATGCAATCAGCAGTCAGAGCGGAAATCGATGCTCTTTGTGCGCGTTGTTGACTGGACGCTCTGGTGGACAACGGAAATGGTCGCTGCAACAGCCAGGGGAGGCCATCACGTTTCCACTTTAAGAGTGGGTCGGGATCTCACATGATACAAAGCCTCTCGCGTACGCCCTCGACATTTGGTCCCGCCAACCGTTGAGATTCTGCGGCACGCTTCCAGCTTGCTACAAGATAAACAACAGGGCCGCAGAAGCTGGTTTTCGGTGACTAGCGCAATTTTTTGAACATACAAATCAATTATTGTTACGATCGAATTTTCATGCAGAACAGAATTCGATGCAACAATCACTGTTTTGGAAGTAAACTTGAGCACTTCAGCGGTAGCAACAGGCTGGTGCTGCTACGATCATTAGCGTTGATGACTGCCAGATAGAATGGCGTGATTTGTCGAAGCACCAAATGCCTCGGGGCAGCGTCCTCAGCCACTGTCGTTTGGCCACTATTCACAACATGCTGAAGGCCAGCATCCGCCAGCAGCAGTGACAGCGACAATTGCCCACTTGATGCGATTGTGGCAGAAGCCTTGCCACGTCAGCTCATGATAGTGTGCTGCTTGGGTCGACACAGTGCGCAAGCGGTGTACGCTATAGCCAATTGGCTCGTGGACCTCACTGGTTATCGTCGAGAAACATGACAAATTCGTGAGTGCAATGAATGCAGCCACCGTATCGTAGGGGCGCCGTAGCACATCACCATATACGGGCCGCTCGTGGGTGGCCAATTGGGACGCTTCGCGCCAACCTTCGCCGAAATCCTGGCTGTGGCCCCAGGATGAGCAGTTTCCACGCTCCGGGCCTGGCAGCCAGAACACCCGCGAAGGCGGTGTGCAAGACGCCGGCCCCCACAGGTCTCGCACCATCTTGACGGTTCATGGCTTGCCGGGCTCAAGTTTGCGCACCCCGAGCTTGACGCAAATTGAGAGTGTGCTGAACCCATTTGGACACATCCGAACCTCCGGATCAGGCGCCTGCCTGTGGGGCTTGTGCGTGGCGTGGGTGTCGATGAAAGTCATGTTGTCAGGTCTTGGCTCGTTATTCGGATGGGCGGAACGCGGCATTGATGCTGCCTTTCCCGATTGCGGCTCCCAGGAACACAAGGCAAGGCGTTTGGCTTGAGACAGAGGCAGCATGGCAGGCCCACGAGCGTCGAGGTGGGCGCCGAAGGCAGAGGTGCGGCGGAAGGCAGCGGCGGCGCCCCTTTGAGCTTCCTGGAGGAGTTCATGGTGGATCATTCGCGAGATGACGAAATCGCCATTGGCGGCAAGTGGAAGGGCCCCAAGTCGATCAAGAAAAGGAAACGGCCCGAGGACAGCGTTTCAGACAGCGTGGAGGGAAATCCGTATGGTTTAGAATTTTTCGGCCCTGAAGATTTCGAGGCTCTCAGCCCACCGGACTTGCTCCCCCCCAAATCCGCCAGGCCATCAACAGAGCATCCAAGAATTGAGGAAGCCAAGCGGATTATTTTTGACCAGATGAGTCATCAGGCTGATGAATTCCTTCGGCAGGCGAAGGAGCAGGGTTCGCTGTCCGATGCGGACATCAAGGAACTTGAGGCAAAGCTCGGGGCCATGGACTTTGCTGAATGGTCCAGTATTGATGAGCACCCATTCGTGTTTGCGGACCTGCCTGACGAGGGTGACTGCATGGAACGGCTGCAGGCCGAGGGGCTGTCACTGGTCGAACAGCTCAATCGCCGATTTCGCGCTCCTGGCTACATTTGGTTCGAAGAGGATGAGCATGGCATGCCAGTGGTGAAGTTGGCTCACAGGGATGGGCAGGAGGTGACAGTACAGCTCCATGGCGCGAACATAACGTCGTGGAAGCGGGTGGACGGGGAGGAGGCGATATTTGTCCGGCCAGACGCCACTTTTGACACGAATGTGCCCCTCAACTCTGGAACACAGTTTGTATTTCCACAGTATGGACCCGGTACCCTTCCAAAAGATGGGCTGGTGAATAACGCGTTTTGGGAAGTTGTCGCAACAGAAATCGGGGTGGATTGGATACCGGATCCTGCCCCTGCTGTCATCCTCCGCTGTAGCGACACCGAGGAGACCAGAAAAGTGTGGCCCCACAAGTTTGAAATATTCTACAAGGTGAGGGAGCCGGGGCATGGCCCCTCACAAATGCAGCACATAAATATGGGGCTGATGCTTGTCATGGTGGGCTCGTTCTCGCCTCAGATTTGATCAATGTAATCAGTGCAGGCCTTCAGCTCACATTGTCAACAACTTGCTTGGTGAGCATTGTCCACTGATGGACTGATTGATGGCACCCGCATCACCAGAATAGCGAAGGACTGGGGTTTTAAGTTTGGTTCACTCTTTCAAGCACTTTCATTCTGTTTTGCAGATCACAATCGGTGAGGCAGACGACTTTCCAAGTCCCATCCCAAGCCAGGCAGAGATTGATGAAACGTACAAGGTGGACAGAAGTGCAGAGGAAGAAAAACCGGTCAAGGGACCACCAGCTCAACCTGAAGAGGATGCTGACGATGACATAAAAAGTCTCACGGGTGGCAAAGATAAATTCCCAACTCAGCTGAGAATGGAAATCACGGTGAAAAATTTAGGTGCGGGCAGTGTCCTGGGCAGAATGTCTTCGAACAGTGCTGACTGGCACATATTTATGCATCCATGTCCATTGAACCGGCATTGGAATAAGCACATTTTGCATCTTTCGCTGTCACGTTCGATTGTGCACTGTGGAAGACTTCAGCCAAGGTCAAGGGGCACATTGTATTTGCGATCCTCCATGCTTGATTTCTAGGAAGGACATTTTGGTAATGGTGACGACTTCAAAAATCTGGTTGATGATCAGGAGATGAGGACATGGAGTTCATGTGTGCCCTGAAGCCGCATTTCAAAGTCAAGGACTTGTGTTTTCATCGCATGGTGGTAAACACGCTCGGGCTGTGTGGAAAAGACTTTTTTGACTACACCGTGACCCCTGGACGACCACGACTGAGGGCAGATGAATGGGATCATTTGTACTTTGGAGGTGAGCAATTCCTCAAAAGATGGAACAGCAAAGCTGATAGCACCCCCTACTGCGCCATCCAGAACATTACTATGCCAATGCTGGTCAGTGCTTGGCACAAGCTTGTACCCTGAGTGTAATACGCTAAATTGCAGTAGATGCCAGGTCATGTCTGACATTCACTGTCACTATGTCCACCTGGTACATGCACCATATACAGCATGTATGTCAAATCTCGTTGAACACGTACAGCATCCTCACACCAAGCCCACAGCAGGTTCTGTTGAGGCAACGCTGGCAACATCAGCTTGCACTGTTTGATGAATTGGGCATACTGATTGAACATTCCACTCTGTATGCTGCTGGTCGTCGTCGGGTACCTGCAAGCTGGCATCATCAGTTCCGTGCAACATTTCAGGCGGACTTGTAACATCAGCGAATGTTTTGGCTGCAGAGGTCCCACCCAACGTTTTTGTACCTTATCTCACCTTCTTTCGTCGCACCTGGTCCAGCGCTTGTTACTGAGGGGCTTTGTGCCATGTCACAGCCGGGGGTCGTGGAATCGACCGCATCTATGTTGATGCCAGCGAAGGCGATCTCTACTTCTGCCCTGGTGACCGTGTGCATTATGAGTTTAAGTTACGGGATGGCTTCAGGGATGTGGTTGCATGGAACCCTGGCGATGAGGACATCGAGACAGCGATGTGGGCAAGATACTGTGCAGTCCTTTCGGGGGCACGCATTGCACGGCCTGTCAGGTACCAAGAGGGTCCATTGCAAACAAATCAAGACGTGCTGTTGTTGCTACACTATTCTCTGTTCGCTAATGCAGTGATGGCTACATGTAAATGCATTGTTATTCATGCACACAAGTGTACAGTGATTAGAGGGCAAAGTGTGTATATGTCGGTTGAATTGAATTCGCACAACAGTTGGGCAACACTTTAGACAGCATTTGGAGGTCGGCGCTCTCTATGACATTGATTGTCTCCCATTTTGTCACGGAAACAGCGACCTAGCAGGTAGACTGCTTGTTAACTTGTCCCTGGAATGGTGTAGGTTGGACATTTTTATTGAGTTTTGCTTGGCTGTGACTTGAGATGAACCTGTGAACTGTCAACAGGCTGGCAGATAAGCACCCCTTGTCTTCTTAGAATTTACGCACGAGTGTGTGGGCCCCGCCTTTTGCTGTTTCGCTCTGCAATGTTCTCGAGCTATGCTATGTTCGTTAGTCAGTTCATTGTCGCAGGAATGCTGCAACCGTTCTTGTGGTGTGAGGATCACACAGAAACATCCCACTTGATGTCGACTCTTCCAGGAAACAATACACATCGAAACATGGAGTGAACTGTCAGCTCATTGTTTGGTCCAAGAAGCAGTGGCCATGGTTTGGATCTGCAGTGTCCATGGTGGTGTCCATATCAGACACTGCTGAGACTTGTCTTATTCACAGCACCATCAGGACCTCTTTTGCATTCATTCTTGGTTCCCCATTTGGGGACTTGGGATTCTCAACCGCAGAGTGTGCGACTGAAACGCTTGAGTGCATGTCAATGGAATAGATTGAAGCCAGGCAAGGAGTGGTATGCGGACCAGGCCATTCGCTTCCATCAGCAGTATTGGCGTGAGCCAGTTTTCGGATACTCTGAAGATGTCCCACCTCCCAAGTTCCCTGACATGGATGCGCTGGGTGACAACGACGAATAGGAATACGGGCTGAAATCACAACAAGCACCTGTTGCCCGATGCAAGGTACCAATTCACATATGATTGGGCTCAGGAAACGAATGGCATGGTGGCGTTCTGCTCACAGCTGAGCAGGAGAACATTGAACTGCTGCAAATGCTTCGGTGGTAGACATCAGCATTGAAGGAGACTGGGCTGCTGTGGTGATCGGAAAACAAGGTGGGGTTTGCGCCCTTGTAAGACGATCGATGTCCCAAACAGGATTGCGATTGCATGCGTCAAAGCCAGACATGGGGCAGGAATCTGTCACTCGCCCGCACTGTTTACTTGTATTTGCACCACAAGCACAGGTAACACAGATTTGGAATTGGCATGGAGATAAAATTGTGCAGAACGCTGTGCAAAATCTTTTGTGCGGACTGCAAGTCTCCTCCATAAGCAAACCCGCCTGGATCATGGTTGTCAAAGATGCAGTGGCTGCAGTGGCTGCATTGGCTGCAGTGGAACTTTCCTGGAAAATATGAAGAGGGGACAAAGGCTAGTTTCCCCTTTGTCAACGTCCGTCTGTTGAGTATTGATGCCAGACTCTCACTGTGAAAGATGGTTGGAACACGCGATCAGTGCGACCTCCTCCACAGCCTGCAGCACTGGCCTAGCTTTGTTTCATCACCTGTTTACAATGTTATTGAACCAGATTTCATGGAATTGCACAAGGTCATCATGGCTGGCCATTCCTCCTTCATTCCTTCATCTGGTGGTCACACACGCGCCCAACAGAGCACTCCAGCGCTGAAAGAATGTGGGCATGGATTAGGACGTTCTCCAGCGTATGCTACGGCTCGACCATTCAACAACCCTCCACGGATGCGAATAACTAGTGCTTCAGCTATATCGTTCCTGTGAATCCCTCAAATGCATGAATCGTGACTCCCATGGCGCCCGGAGATGCTGAACACGCTGGGATTGCCGCTGCCAGTGATTGGCGCCACTTAGATTGACCTACAACCTTGTTGGACTATTCTGACGACCAAAAGACGTCTTTGAGACCAAATCGAATCTTACAGATCCACTTCATCGACGTGTGCTCGGCACGGCCAACGAATGTTTCCCGTTCTAACGGCGGGACAGTCACATTCGTTGAATCAAGAGGTGAAGAAAGCCTGTAGTGGGACAACCCAGGAACGGCACACAATGTGCAAATCCGTGAGCGAATGCAAGCCTAGCTACACACCGAGCAGCCGCTGTGCCAAAATGCGATCGCACCAACACTAGTGCGCCCGCATTGACACTTGACTCCTTTGCCAGCGAGCCCAACTACCCGCCTGAGACCGTATCCGCGCCGGGGTTCGCCCCCTCGCGTGCAACCTTCACAAACAACGAGCCGACCGGAACGCAACCATTGGCTACCGCACACTCCAGCCGAATTGGCCATTTCACTGCACCCATTCATCCGATCCCCACCGAACGTTTCAATTCCCATATCTTGTGGCCTCCGCCCTCTGCGGGCCTTGCGCCACGGGCAGTCGCCATGGTGACGCGCCTGCCTGTCGGGGGGCCATCCGCCGCCCTCTCGCTCCGCCCTCGCCACGCCGCAGGACATCGTCCGGGCGAGCCCCCCGTGGGCCCCGATGCTCGCGGCGTCGGCCCCCGGTGCCCGTCGGGCCAGCTGGAGCGCGTGCGGATCGCCACCGACCGACGCCGATCGGCTGGCCGGCCGCTCGCGGCGGCGGCGGTGGACGCCCCTCCCACTGCTCGGTCCTCTCCCGGGGCCAAGCACGTGCGCGAGGCCGACGTGATCGTCATCGGATCGGGCATTGGGGGCCTCTGCTGCGCCGCGCTGCTGGCGAGATACGGCGTCAATGTGGGTCCGGCGAGGGTGCACCTCGCACGTCAGACTTTCGCTCAATTCGATCTGGTTCTGTTAGTGGGTCGATCGCGCTTCTGGGGGGGAGGGTTTGGTTCGTGATCTGAGGGCCAAATGCCCATGGCTTGGGCCCCGTGGGCCACGTCACCAATTTGCGCCTTTTCTCTCGCATTGCCGACGTCTGAGCACCATAACTCCAATAAGACGCTTCATTCTTTTTCCGTTGCGCTCAATGGCCTTCTGTCGGAGGCCATTTCCAGGAAAGGACTGATCCAATCTGTGTGAATTTGCAGCAAATTCTGATTGCCGCAATATGTGTGCCTTCTCTATGATTGAATGTTCCTTTTTCTCTTCTACAGTGAGAAACACTGGCAATGCTTTGGCTGGCAGCAGACAGTGCGACCAAATGCGCTGAAAGAAACGCACATGTGATTGTCAAAGTGCGCCAAACAGCAGCCAGTGAGTGAAAAGCCATTTCTGTGTTCAGATCCTGATGAATTTATGCAATGGGAGTTGATGCACTGGAGATCCTGCGAGACTTCAGCCGTGTGTTGGTGCTGTCTACGAATGCCGAAATGTTGAGAGAATTTTGGCTTGTACGCAGAGGACCATTCGATTTGATTTCATTGACCCAAAGCACGATTCATATGTAGGTGGTTGTTGTGGAGAGTCACTACACACCAGGGGGCGCGGCACACACGTGGATGTCTGGCGACTATCACTTCGAGTCTGGGCCCAGCCTGTACTCTGGGATGAGCTCTAGGGGAAAGGGAGCAAACCCCCTGGCACATGTGTTCCAGGCGATCGATGAAGAGCTTGAGCTGCTGACATACAATGCATGGAACATCTTCTTCCCAGAAGGCCACTGGCTAGCTCAGGTGCAGTTTGCTTTCGAAACAAGAGAAGCCAGCATATTCACCTTTGAGGAACATCTGTGTTTTGTTCTGTACACACTTATGCCGTGTTTCTCTGCAAGTATCTCTGTCATGTTGGAGTGCTCTCAGACAACAAAATGTATCTGTTGCTATGATGTTGGGCCAGCGATGTTTGTCCAGGCCTTAGATGGAGGTTGTTGCCTCCATGTGGAGGCCTTTCTCACACTTGCGCTTCCTGCTGCTGTCCCAATGTCAGTATTGGCTTCTTTTTCCTACAGGTTGGCGCTGGCGAGTTTGCCAAGATTGCTGAAGAAGTTCGCGGGCCACAGGCTGTGAAAGAGTGGCAAGCATTGGAAGCTTACTTGAAAGATTTCATGTCATCTGCCGCTATGCTTCCCCCAGCTGCCCTCCGGGCAGACTTGGGGGCAGCATTGACTGTTGGTGGTCGATACCTTCCTGACTTGATCAAGGGAGGTGCAAGCACCCAGAAGCTGACCGTCCCCTTCTCTGAGGTGGGCACAAGCAGCCGCATGCAATGATGGTTGGATTGTGTAATGCTCCATATCCACAGCTTCTGATCTTAGTTTCTCGGCAGTCAGTACGTTGTCGAGTGTTGCTATTTACTCGATCATTCGGTTCCATTGCTGCTGACGACTTGTTTCTGGATGTTTCTTTCTGTGGACGATGTTGGGGCTTCTTTTCTATGTCAAATATTAGCACAACGTTGAAGAATTCAGGACACTTTAGTGCATGACTGTTTCCACCTTTTAAGAACGTGCAATACGCTGCATTGCTGAGGTTTGATTGCAGCAATTTCACAAGTATGCTGACAAATCACTGCCCTCTTTGCACGCACCATTAATTCATGAGTTATGCATTGCCGTTGCTGAAGAACCCTTTGCACAAAGGATAGAATTGCTTCAGACAGACATTCATGCAAGAGGGCATGTGCTGGCCTTGTGCCCAGGTATTGTTGTGCGGATGCACTTTAACTATGATGCTATGTGCATTGCTTATAGCCTGGTTTTGCTGACAGATGATCAAGGGCATTATCACAGATGAGTTCCTGCTGAACTACATCGACCTCCTCTCCTTCTTGTTGTCAGGTAAAAAATGCCCAATCACATCTCACAGTGATTGGCAATGGAAATATCTGCTTGAAGAGTACGAAGAGTTGCACTTTCCCTCATGCAAAGCAAGTAATCTTGTTTTGTTATTGGACTCCAGATGTGGGAAAGTTCGGTTGAGATTCCTGGGCAACAGGCGATTGTATGTTGTTTTCAGGTCTGCCAGCAGATGGGACGATTGCAGCTGAAGTGGCATACATGTTTAATGAATGGTAGGCTGTGGTTTGTAGGCTGAAATAGACAAGGTTTTGAGTGTTTCCATCTTTGAATACAATTTACAGAGCTTTGCAAGAACTGGTCGTGTACAAAGGTATGACATCATCTGGGAGTCAACCATGTTGCGTGCTTGCATGTTCCCACTTGCCGAACCAAATCACAGCGTTGCTGGGCAACTATTTGGAACCCCATCCAAGGCAACACAATGCAGCACCTTTGCTTTCATTGGCATTTCTTTGAAGTTGCAACGTTGTCAAAGCAGATGGGAACCACTTGTCTATTCTGACGATGTCTTTCCACAGTTTAGCTCCCCTTCTGCAGATTGCCTTGAACAACATACATTGAAGTTTCTGATCATGTTGGTATGCTTAGTTATTACCTGGATAGTTTCAGTATAAGAACCAATGTTCACATGGTTATTTGCGTTTGCAGTGTCACCTGGTAGCCGCATACCCTGATTACCTGAACACACATAGTCAAATTGCGATTGTCTGAAGGCTTTCACGGGGGCCTCATCCCCAGGTGGAGAGCAGAGTACCCTGTTGTTGCAGCTTTGCAAATGGGGTTGTGTCTGTGGTTCAATTGGTGCCACAGCTTTCTTGCTTACTGTGCCCATTGAGGTCCTTCTGATGGAAAGAGCAAATGTGGCAGGATGTGGTCATGCAAGGTCGTGTGGCTGCCATTTCCATTCAAATTACTTCAAAGGTAGTCACGCTGTTTTGGCTACCTGCAAATTGTTTGGTTGTGGCTACCGGAACTGCGAATCACGCATGGAATGCTCAGATAGTGAATTTACTGCCCAGGTACCGACCCAACTGCTGCCTGGAGTTCCCAAAGGGCGGGAGTCAAGCGATGACAGATGGACTTGTAAGGTAGCCTACTGCTTGCCATGTCCTCCATTGGGAGCCAGAAGTAGCCTTGTGCATTTAATTTTCCAATCCACTTTCGATGGCTGCTCCATTGACTCATACACTTATGTGCACAGGTGATGTCGCAATGGATTCCAGTTGGGCAGGATCAAATGTTGGCAGGCATGCCATGGTTTGAACTTGGCTTAAAGTAGCATGTCTATGCTTGTTACAAAGCTGCATTGGCAACGGGACTGAAATTGCGCCAGAACTGTGCAGCTTACACTATCGTACCCTGTGCATAGGGCATCAGCACGTTGCAGTATGCCGCAGGTAGTTGCGATCACCCCTGCTGATGTTGGGCCTTCTGCAATGTACACTAACTCACAACATTTGTGCCTGGCAATGGCGACATGAGATCACAGTTGAAATGAGCGAGTGCATTGAAGAAAATTGTGCGTGGATAAAATTCTTGGACACACCCTGGTTGTTCTGTTCCTGCTGGCACCATCGTCTTTTCCTGTTTTAATTACCCTGTCTCCCATTATGCAGGGGCCTGGAGAAGTTTGGTGGCAAGCTCTTGTTGCGCTCGCACGTCGAATCTGTACTGGTCGAGGGGGGAAGGGCAGTGGGCGTGGAGTTGAGGGGAGGGAGAGTCATAAAGGCAAGGAAGGCCGTCGTTTCAAATGCCTCCATGTGGGACACGCTGTCGCTGTTGCCTGCTGGATCCGCTCTGGAGGAGCTGAAGAACAAGGCGGAGAAGACACCCCTGAATCCCAGTTTCATGCATCTCCACCTAGGTTTTGATGCCAGTGGTGAGTTTTATTTTCAGAGTGCACCCAGAAAGAGCTCGAAATGTTCCTCAGATGTGCTGCATGGGGCTCATTTGGCTGTCAAGTGAAAGATGCTGAAGAATCCCACCATGTGTTCCGGTCAAAGGTACTGGCTAATGCGAACCAATGGAAGAACTGTTTGGGACCATTTCTTACACAAGTGTGGCGCACCCGCAGGATTGGATGATGTGGATTTGCATCACATCATTGTCAACAGCTGGGAGAACGGAGTGGACAGCGAACAGAACGTGGCCCTCATATCCATAGCCAGCGTGATCGACCCCGACTTTGCACCCCCAGGAAAGCATTCGCTGCATGCCTATGTCCCAGCGACAGAGCCCTGGGATCTCTGGAAGGACATTGACAGGCGCAGGTGCGATTGGCACACAAGCCCCTGTTGATGGTCCACGGATTATGCCTGTGGGCGTTGTTGAATGCAGCCCAGCAAAACGCAGACCTGCTTGACCCACCCTGACACGCAGAGCATGTTGCCCCATGGAAATCGCGTTGCAATTATCAAAGCTTGTGTGTGCATCCATGCCTCCCATTTCGACAGGGCGGTGGCGTCCGCTCGCCAAGCGCCCCTTCTTGTTCCAATGTGAGGACCGCTTGAATCTTTGCTTACTGGCTGGAGCACTCACACAGCGCTGCTGTGCACGGCCCAGTGAGGAGTACAAGAGGCTGAAGGAGGAGCGGTCGCAGGTGCTGTGGAACGCTGTGGAAAGGGTGGTGCCCGACATTAGGAAGCGTGCTGAAGTCGTGCATGTGGGAACGCCTCTCACGCACCAACGCTTTTTGAGAAGGCACAAAGGGACTTACGGGCCAGGAATCAAGGCGGGAGAGGGAACATTTCCGGGTGAGTTCCCGCTGTCGGCTGTGTGCATGGCTGGAGTCATCAGTGCTGTCGCGGAGCCCATTGACGTTCCAGTTGTCGTTGCAGAAGAGCCAGGATAACTAGCAATCTAGCTGTGAAGTGCGTGGCCATGTGGTTGTTGACAGCAACAGTGGTAAATGAAGGATAACGACGATTGCAGTTTTTGCAACGGGTACCTCAAAGGGATGAAACAGAAATGGCTTAAATCTGGCATTAGGACGCGCTCCTGCTTCGGCGCATTGCACATCCATGGTATTCTCTTTTCAGCAGTTGTATTCGGATTCAACATTGGCATAAGAAGTGCAGAATTTATTGGGTACTGTATACCTCCTCCGTCCCATATTGAATGTCCTCTATTTTTTAGCGCATTTTCCTCCATCAAAGAAACTTCCTTTTTCAATGAAATTTCGTCCAAAGTTGTGTTTGTGGGCTTGGAGTATGCGGTCAAAAATCAAGTAAGTCCGTTAAGTTTTGTGGATTCGGCAGAGATATGTTGCAAGGGTTCTCTGCCTAGTAAACTTTATTTCACATTTTCGCTCAAAACGACCAAATTTTTCTTTTCGCCCAATGTGCAAAGGGGTCGGGGCTCACTTTTGTTTCTTGAAAATTGGCAGTCACGAGTTTTGCGACCCTTTCCGATTCTGACCTTCTTTTGTAGTTGTGAGGCCATCCTTGGAACGAATTTGTCTTTCAAATAGAGGACATTTCATATGGGACGGAAGAAGTAGAATGTAAATATGGATCTTGTATAATACACACACACGCACGCATGCACGCATTTAAATCATGCGAAAGTTAGGGAAGACACTATTTTGAATTCTGTGCGATTAGCGTCAATGTGACGTTAAGGTCAGAACCCCACTCAACCACCCACCCACCCCTCCTTAATGTCAATCCAAGTTTCGATGCCATGATGACTCAGCAACATTACCTAACAATGCCAATCAACTTCAAAACAATTTAACGGAAAAAACAGCCGAAAATTGTGGTGATTGCAGTGATTTGAAAATGGGATGCCAAAAGTTATGATAGGCAATGTGAGCAGCCCCAAAGCCTGGAATTGATCCACTCTAGGGACTTCCTCGAAGATTGCAAGTCTGAAGGAGGCTTCGCAACGAATCGTGAGCCATCTGCCGCTGATCAGTGGCGTCGTTTTTACATCTTCCCAGCTCATTTTGATTTTAGTGCAATGACATAAGCTATTGGCGTCAATGGCTGGCCCCCCCCACCCACTAACCCACTAAGCGTACAATAAGCAAAATAATGTCCTTCCCATGTCATGCATGCATTCTACATGAACATAAGTATACATACTGCATGAAATGGGCTTTGCTGTCCCGGGTTTGCGGACGAGACTGGTTGCGGACGGCTTCTGTGCTCCTGGGTCCCACAGCAACAGCTTGGTTTCGCGTGGACGTTCTCATGATGGGGGTCTTGAACGCAACAAAAATGACACTGGTCAGCCTGCTTTTGACACAGTGGCCGTGCTGGCAAGCCATTCGACGAGGACCTGCGGCCATTCTGCTACCAGCGACGTCGCGGTCGAATCTTTCTGCAACGCCCTTCTGCCCTCCTGCGCGTTGTCACGAGGCTCACATCCGTGTGGTCTGCCCGTGCAGGTCCCTCCACCCCCATCCCTGGCTTGTATTGCTGTGGGGATTCCACATTTCCAGGCATCGGGTTGCCCGCCGTGGCGGCCAGCGGAACCATCGCAGCCAACACGTTGGTCCCCATCTGGGACCACTGGAAGATGCTCGACGCGCTGGGAGTGTGAGGCGGCGGCCGATCAGTCATCCATCGACCAGAGCAGGGTCTTTGCGGATTTTAGAGACTTCTGCCAATCTTTTTACACTGATGAGTGGTGCTTCCATGGCGTTGATGGACTGCTCTCGATTTGGAGCGTTGGAAGTTGTTGCTATTCACATATCCGCAGTCCTCAGTTATGTTGCGCTGCGTGGAATGCAGAATTCGATATATTTTTTTGTGCTTCAACATGAATTCGTAGCTCTGAGGCCTCCGTCGCCATGTCCCAATGGTCGGGGGGGGGGGGGCCATCAGTGTGAAGGCAGCATAGAAGGACCCATACATGACATGCCTCACTCTGATAACACTGGAGGACATATTATCGTGGCCCGAATTCTATCCCTGGCTTCCAGCACAATATGCATCTGTGGACATCCCATGATGGCATCGACCATTTGTGATCGTTTTCGCCTCTCACGTGCCCGGGCTGCGTTTTTTCCTTGACAATTGGAATCAAAGGAATCAACGAATTCGATGAAGGTGGCTCCAATGATGCCTTCAGTGAACCCATTTCCACGCTTGCACTCTTGTGTGCATGCACATTGCAGTGTGTCACCGCTGACAGGATCTGAGGACTGCTATCCTGCAAGACCGCAGTAGAGGCTTGTTCCGCGATGCCCGCGTACTAGGCGCGATGATACTGGATTCATGGTCGCCACCACACCCCGATACTGCAGACTGATCAGTGGCAAGGCGTGGGTCGCCCAAACACCGTATACGAGACATACTTGCGCTGTACACCACAAATCCCCTGCATTGTTTGACACCCGCAGTGGGTGTTTGCAACACGCTTGAAATCCCCCCTATCCCTATTGCCCATTGGGAGGCAAACTAACGACAACCATGGCACGTCATGTTATATCTGTTGTTGTGCCTGGTCGGATGTGGCAAGGTATATCCACGCTGAGCTCACTCGCGCCCAGGAACCGAGTACTAGGGTACCTCTGCAAAGTACCCGTCCTTGCTGCCAGCAGGACAGCCCTTCGCCCGCGACCTGAAGAACGCAGAAGGGGCAGGAATGCGTATAGCCCAAAGGGTTGACCGACACAGCGGAGGCCACAAGCACTGGTGCCAAACGCCCTGCAGCAGTTACAAATCCCGCAACAACCTCGTCAACTCCTCAGCTAAGCCCCTCAGCCGGCTCGCATGGGCGGTGCACCGCACCTCCTCAGCCTCCGCAATCCACTTCTTGCACGCTGCCAGGATGTTGTCCCGCCGGAGGCGGAAATGGGTGACCACAACTTGTTCAAAGGACTTTGGGGGCTTCTTCAGGTAGTCAATCATGGCCCTGTGGATGGTGTGCTCCCTGATCTCCTGGCTGTACGCCCTGCTGGCCTGCTTGCCGTTTTCCGTGTGCATGGTCACTTCATAACCGGGCTCGTTGAAGTAGGGCTCTGGGACAAGGATCAGTGACTGGATGGATACCAGCACCTGGAATGCGGATGACACCTCGGCGTCCCATCTCTCCCCCGCGCTCCCTGCCACCATACCATCGCAGTCCTTTAGGGTCGTCTTTGAAAACCAGCTGGCAACTGATGAGTTGACGATGCACATCGGCTGCTGAGAAAACCACATGCCAAGCAATGGGTGGGTATTGCAGTCCAGCCATCGTGCATGTCTGTCCTTCAGCAGCAAGCAGTTGACAACAGCAGGCACACCGGATCTACACGTGGCCCTCCATTCACTCCCCAGCCTCAATGATGCCACACTTGATGGCCAGATGTTAGTGGTACTGCCCGCAGCTATTCAGCGACTCCCCAACAAAAAAGAAATGCAGCAGGTCCTGGCGGCTTCTCCAGCAGGACATCAGTAGACGTTGCAGGGCGGCCCCTGGGAGCGCTTGCACACGCTCACCTGACCAGGTCCCCAGAAGGGACAAGCAAACTTTTCCGCACTTGTACAAGTTCGGATTGAATCTGACAGTTCCTCCCCCAGTCGTCTTCAGGGTGACCTTCACAGTAACGCCCATGATGCCACTTAGTATTGGCAAAGATGAGCTCAATTGACCATCCAAGACATAGTTTGCGTCAAAATTCGCCACAAGTGGCACAGATCCACCCCTACCCATGACAGTAAATGGGTACAACTCTACCTCTGCATCATGGGTATGACGAGCTAGGGATAAGGGGATATAAGCACAGGCACACAAAGTTTGCAAGTGCTTAGCCAGGACATGCAGCACCCGTTCCCATGTGCTGTGAGTCCTGTTGCCGGTTGATCTGTTTACCTTTGGCGGTGCTGAAGGATAGCCCGTCGGAAAATAAAGATCAAACAGGAAGCAGCCTCCAGAGTAAGGTGTGTCTTCCGGCCCAGTTATCAGCGCCTGCCACAGGTTCAGTTTCTGCTCATCGACCCTGACGAACACGGAAGAGGAGGCGGTGCAAGGGAGGAGGGAGCGAAGCCCAGACAGCTCCCGGCTCAGGCGGACCATCCTCTCCTTTGGGTAGGCCAGCTCTCGCACGCTGTCTGGGCCAAAGGAGTTGTGCGCTTCAAGATCCTCCACGAAATCCAACTGTGAATAGCGAACAAAGAGACCAGAGAGTTAGCACATTGAGGCCAGGCAGCCAAGGAAACAGCAACACTCCGTCGCCAACTGTGCACATCAATGAAAGCGATGGCGCTGTGTTAATGACACATCGCGTGAAATTTCTTTAAATACCACAGGGTGTACTGGACAGACCTTTGATCATTGATCTGTAATGTGTCCTTACCTGTTCTTGTCATTTCAACAGTGCGGAGACTGCCCATTCAATAGAAAGGAACATGCCATACAACGGTGCACAACACCATACACACCGATGCACTAACAGGTGAAAAATGACCATGCCAAATTGTAGTACATTGCCAGAAAAAGGTACATCTCTTGTTAGGTGGTGTTCTTTCTGTTAAGGGTCCATTCGAATTCACATATACACTGATGCGATGAAGCAAATAAAGAATGTAAATAGCAGGGTGCACCACAGCTACACCACAAGAACAGCGAGGCACTGCGACAATGCACCAACACACGCAGTGCAGCCACCTGCATGCCTCGCATGGCATCAATGTAGCCCTCGACTCCGCAGCTGCTGGATGTCGAAGGGCGCCTGGAGCGAGGCTCCTCTGGACTCCCATCCATGCCCCCTACCATCTGGGATGTCAGGATCCCCACAGTCGACAGGATTGACTCTGACAACTGCAGCCCCAACCTCTCCTCCTTCTCTGCAGTGACGTTCTTCTGCAGTGTGCAGCTTCCTGCTGGGAGAGTGGCAGCAGACATAGCCGGGAGTCCTATATTTCTTCTTCGCTCAGCTTCGATGTCCTGTGCCTTCCGCCCACGGTCTATCATTTGTTCATAGTCCACTGCCGACCCCTGCAGCAACTGCAAGGCTTCAAGGATTGTGGTCGCATTGGTTGAATCCGACACCTTGGTCGTGTGCAGGAGGTGGGCTGCGGATGGATGGCACAGTTTGTCAATTACCTGCAGTGGCAGATGTGATGTCAGGGCTGTCAGCTATGCAAAAGCTTCTCCACTTCCGTTGCATGCTGCAGCGTGTGGGGTGACAAGTGGAACACTGAAAATTTGGGACGATTTCAGTGCTGGAAGCTGCAAACAGTCCACGTGAGGCTGCTCGGGAGCCAGCACCTGCAAAATCATCCCTGTGTTGGCAACTTTACAAGGATACCAGTGCCCACGATTCTGACAAAAAATTTGAATGCGGCAAAGGGAATGAGGGTGTCAGCACATGCGTTTGACAATTAGGTAACTTGAAGAATGGTACAAAGTTTGTCAACTGTTGGGTTCCCTTCCAAACACGAATTGTGTGCTGCCATTGTGAGGCACTATCACGTGCTACACTCCCTGCAAATTTGCCAGACTATCATTTACAGTTCCAGATTGGTAAACAATCACACATGGACTGCACCTAGAGCATTTTCTGTCAGCTGCCAAGGAACACATTGCACTCAACATTCCACAGCCTTGGTGCTGAACATAGAGGCTGGCATGTGCATTGACCAGAGGAACACAATGGGATGTTGTTGATACAGTAGTCAATTGTGCATCAGGAAAAGCAATGGCACTGCTGTGTGTTCACTGAACATTTGATGAGCCAGCAAATTGGCACTAGCCACAACTGCCATACATACGTCCAAACACCCACCTTCATGATCGACAGATGGTATTCTGCCCGCCCACACATGTCGGTGAATGAGGCACAGCCCAACTCCCTGTGCAGGAAAGGCAGCAGGCAGGAGCCCTCCAGTGCAGCCACAAGTGTGCGCAGCTTTCCAAGGCCGTCACCAATCTGACTGCCACTGCTAGACCCCCCTGACAACATCGCCACCACAGCACTGTCTCCTGCAGCAGTAACGCAGCCCAGTTCCGTTGCCAATGACCTGCCGAGGTCGCTGAGCAGCTTCTCAATCTCTGCATCGTGCGCCTTCTGTGCGAGCTCGTTCGCCTTGGCGTCCCACGTTTCGGCTTCAGTGCTTCCGTGCCCATAGCCGGTGCCCGCTGCCCAGTACTCCTTGCCGTTGGGCTTGGCCTTCATCTTCTTGGCCTCAGGCTCTGTAAGGGCATCCAGGTGGTTCCTGTCCACCACTACCCCCCGGGATTCATACAGCGCCCTGTACTGGGGGAACGATATGCACCTTGGAGGCAGCTCTGACAGGGCCTCCAAACGTGCCAGCTGCCGCTCAGCGTTCGAATACGCCTGTTCAGTGGGGGCGTTGAGAGGGGAGCCCAGGTCGACACGGGCGTGCTTCTCCAGGAAGTCTTTTATCTGGAGGATTGCGTCCAGCGGTGAGAGCCAGGGGTCCCAGTTGGAGAGGTGGAACATTGGGTGGGAAGCCACCGCCCAGGCCAGGGGCATCTTGAAGCGCGGCCGGATGACCTCCACCTGAGGGGGGTAGAAGGGATGCAGGCCGCGCTTGAAGGTCATGTGGATCTGGACAGATGAGTCACAGTACAGTTTGCTCAACTCTTGGATGTCCTCTGCCAAAGAGCTGGAGGGGTCAAAGCCGGCCATGTTGACACACCAACGGTAGATGTTGTCATCAATAGCATCCACCAGCAAGGTCATGCTGTATGCCTGGGCCCTGTACAGCATGATGGACACTAAGAAGGCAAAGCCGACGTTCACAAGAATGAAGCACGCCCTGTACCGCCAGCTTGCCTGTCAAACAGCTCATAATTCCCAGCAAGACAAAGTCTGCGTTCGCCGAAATCAGTTCCATCCACTTTCATGCGCGCTGTTGCATACCCAGCGATGAAGTGTGCAGCAATTCCAACATTGACACCACGGCCCCAACGTGTCGATTAAATAGCCTTGCAAAGCGGATTTGAGGCACTGCAACCTCACCCATTATTCAGCAATTGCAAGCCAAAGATAGGCACAGGTTCTGTGCATGGAAAACCATTCTCACATGCACTAGTTTCTGACTGCAAACAGCACCAGATTCGTACGCAAAATCTGCACAGCTCCCGCTCAGAAGAGTCGCAAAATATTTGCCCAGCAGTGGAAGGCCCAACACGCACCGTGCTCCTCCCTCGTATCCAAACGACATCCTTTGCAAAATTGGCAGGCAAACGCCCAGCCCATCGACCGCATCCCCACCTCTTAATGTCCAGCAACTCCTTGGCCAGGATCCTGAACGTTTCCCCCTCGTCGAAAATCTGCCTCGTCCGCGCCACGCTCTCGCCGGCAGACCTCCCGGGAGCCGAGGGCTCCCCCTCCGGGCCCTCCCCACCGGCCCCCACCCTGGCCTCCTCGTGCCTCTGCCACCTGCCCTGCAGTTTCCCCAGCTCCAGTGTCAGGTCCTTGTCCTCGTCCTCCACCAATCCCCCCACCGAGGACATGCCGTCATTGTCGGACGACCCCTCCCACTCCCCTGCCTCCCAGCTGCCCTCGCTGCCACCCTTGACCCCTTCCTCCCCCCCATTCGACTTCGCCTCAATTCTCTCACCGCCCCCCACCAGCGCCTCGATTGCCCCGCAATCCAGCCCGCACGCGCCGCAAATGCGATCGATGATCCGCCCCAGGGGTCCGCCCTCGCCCAGCTCCGCGGCTACGGCATCGATTTGGCCGGCCGTCTCCGGGTCGTCCTCGCACGAGGCCAGCGCGCCGCACGCCGGGTACGCCCCGGGCTCGAACAGCATCACGTTCACGCGCACGGCCCCCGCCGGCTTCAGCAGATCGAACGACACGGTGCTGTCGTCGAGGCAGATCGCCGCGACTGGCAGCGCGGGGCCGCGCCGATCGGCCGCCAGGGCGTCCTTGATGTCCTTCACGGCGCCGCGCAGCGCCTTCATTTTCAATCCACGGATCCCTGCGTGGGTCCAGCGGGCAGTTTTGGTGCGCACGGCGCCCCCGTCGGCAGCGCCGGGCCCGGGCAGGTGAGAAGAGCGTCGAAGGTCGTTGAGTCCGGTGGTGCTTCTGTGGCAGCTACAGAGCAATTAGGCGGGTGTGTCTGAGGAGGACGGTAAGCGGGCTCGGAACTGTCACAGCTTCCGGGCACGTATCAAGCAGCTTCAGGCAGGTGCGCACAAGAGCGCCCACGGGTTGGGGGTGCCCAGCTTGGTTGCCCTGTCTTCGGGGACGTCATGGCGGACTCCGGGGGTCTGGTGCCCTGCGGGCACGCCTGGCTGGACGCCAAGCTCACGGAAGCCGTCGCCGGCGGCGGGGCGGCCGCTCTGGACCTGACGGGCAAGGGGCTGGGCGCCGCCGGGGCCGGGGCGCTGGCCTCGATCCTGCCATCCCGCCCCTTGGCGTCACTCTTCCTGGCGAGAAATGCGATCGGGCCGGAGGGCGCGCGGGCGCTGGCGCCCGCCCTGGCGGCCTGCCCGTCCCTGACCCACCTGTACCTCTCGCACAACGGCCTGGGTCCCGACGGGGCCGCAGTTTTGGCCAAAGCCCTGTCGGGGCATCCCGGGCTGTCCCGGCTGAACATCTCGAACAACGGGATAGGGCCCGCGGGCGCCTGGGCGGTGGCGGAGGCGATTGGGTGCTCTGGAGTGCGGGAGCTGTGCATGGATTACAATGATTTGGGGCCGGAGGGGGGCAGGGCGGTGGCGGCCCTGCTGAGGCGGAGCGCCTGCCTGAGGGAGCTGTCCCTGTGGCACAATTTTTTGGGCGGGCGGGCGGCGATGGAGATCGCGGGGGCGCTGAGCGGCAGCGCCAGCCTCACGGCGCTGGACTTGAGGGGGGAGAACGGGCTGGGAATCGACGGGGTGAGGGCGCTGGAGGAGAGCGCGGCCCATCGGGAGCTGGTTGTGTCGGCGCAGCACTTCAGCTATTCCTGAGGGGGGGAAGGGGTGGCTGTGTGACTGGGAGCCAGCATTTGGCCACCACCCTTGGACCGGGCCGTGGAATGCTCTCCTGTCCCACATGCGTGTGTGTATCCTCTTGATTGCAAGTGTGTTGACAAAATCCTTACAAGAAATTGCTGCATGTGGCGGCTGGGGATGGTCATCTCACTCCGCCAAACGGCCAAAAGGCTTTTGCAAAGGAATTGGAGCGCATGTCCTGGGTCAATTCCCATAAATTGTGTGGGTTCCATGGCAGATTATCAAAGCAGGTGATTGAGGTGGCAATGTGAAGCAAGGGATTTTGGAAAGATCACTGATGCCCTGTGAACATTCAATGAAACAACCGCCATTCAGGTGCGCACCTGCAGGCTTGCTTTCTACCGATTGTTTCCTGGTATGACAGCTTGTTGGGCATGCTGATGTTAGTCCCTCATCTGCAAACCTATCTCCAAGTCAAGGTTGCTTGCCTTCCCATTAACGCAACACTCAGTGAACATGGCATGGTTGCCGATCTGTTGCCAACTCCCTGCCCTCTGGTCATTCATGCCAACAGCCCTTTTATCAGCGGCTGTGCATGTGCAGCATCGTGTATTAGAATTTGACACCGCACACACACTGTCGCAAACCAAGCCAAGAAACTCTTTCCAGGGCATTATAGGGAATACCACGGATGTGGTGAGGCTCTACATCAGCATTGAACTTGGGGGTGGGTTGGGGCGAAGCTGCCATACCACAACGGCACCGTTTCTGAAATGTCTTAATAAGCGCGCCACCTGCATGGAAATATGTCGAAAACACCAAAAATAGGGAAGCATACAAATGGAGGGCGTCCATTCATGCATTTGCTTTATGGCATGGCAGGTGATTCACTCTTAGGATTCGCAGGTCTGGGGAATGTGAGATGTTTTGTGTTTTTTTGTTTGCAAATTCTGCGATACAAGCCACCATTAAAAGGCCTTCCGCCCACCAAGTTCTGGCACACATGGCTTTGTCAGGCACTTCAACGGTCGCATTGTCTGCCCCAAGTGCTTGGGCACATCACTAGAAACGCTGCAAGTCATTCCGAATAAAGGCGAATGCTACCTTATAGAAATGTTGTAAAATGTCAATGTCTCAATTTACTGATTGCTGTGAATTGTTGTGCGAATTCCAAGGGAAGGTGCAAGTTATCTGTTTTCAGTTCTGACTGATGACTGGAGTGGTGCTGGCGAGATGACTTGGATAAGTAGCTCAACTTTGTTGTGTTTCATGAGATGATACCATTGCCACATAGCAGTCATCCAAGAGTGTCTCCAGGCATCTGATTGGTGGATCATTTCTATTTGGCCGCTGCCATTTTCAGCGTGTGAATACATGTTCACAACGCAGCTTCAGATTGGCGACACTTACAATGTTGTAGTCAATGCATCACATAACACTGAAGTGCATGATGGCTGTGCTATGTGTTCCAACAAGACCACACTCTCAAGGCCATTTTGTCTTTGTGTCGCTTTGCATGGCTTCAAAATTCACAACAACTGGCAGTGATGACTGCACAGCACCAGGAATGAACTTCCTGCCATTCTGTGATGACTCTCTTGAAGCGAACAATACATATATCATTTGTTGTGGATCTGCCCTGCTAGGCAATCGACCATGTTGTAGAAATTCTTGGAGCCGCTTGCTGCTCGTTCTTGACAATGGCTTTGATGCAAATCCAGCAAATGCCACAGACCGTGGCCCACAATCTTGAGAACAACAAATCTGATACTGTTCGAATTACAAGTATTTGACTGTTGATCTGCCTCCATCAATTACCGATTGTAATCCGATGATTAAATGGTGGCAGATGAAAATCTCGTTTCGAGAAATGCCATCAACAATATTTTTAAATGACTGTCACTGCACTGCCGTAAGCGGTACATGGGGGTATGACCCCTCGGTATAGTCAACAAGGGCCACCCTACGGTGACCGGCCCCAGTGGGGCTACGGTCACCATAGTGTAGGGTCAAGACCCTGCTATACCCGGGGTGGGTAAGGTGACCACCGATAATGGGGGTACCCCCCTAGTACCGGCTCCCGGGGAGTGGCCCCAAGCCTCACCGGCCTGGGTCCGCAGTTGGGTCCCGGATATGAGGTCTCCGAATATCTTCCCCCGGGGTAGTGGCTTTCCGCACAACAGTCACCTTTTCTCAATATTCTGCATGCAACTTTCCAGTTGCCATGTTCGGAGGTCGGTGGTTGAATACTGATGTGCAGTAAAACTCGATGAGAAAAGTGAATACAGGTTAAAGGGCCAGTTTAATGAAATGAAAGGCTGATGCACAAAGACAACTACAATTGCTTACTAACTTTGGTGATTGTCAGTTGGTACTATGGGTTGGTGCTATGGGTCGATGTTATAGGTCGGTGCTGTGTGGCAGCATGTTGTGCATGTGTGCAGTGTGAGTTCCATCTGCCGTTCTGAGTGTGAGTTCTGGTGGGCGAAAAAAGAGGAGCATTCTTGTATTTAAAGAGAGCCAAAGAGTTGTTCGTGGCTTCTCTTGCAAGAGGAAAACCGATTGGTTTGGTTGTGAGACAAGCTGAGTCTTGGCTGTTTGTCCGAACATGCACAATGAGTGCATTTGAGCACCGCATGCACCAAGGTTGCCACAGAGGTCGAGCCAAAAAGGTTTGACTTATGTTGCACTGTGGCCCATCATTGCGCGCATTCGATTGCAATGAGCTGGACTTGAACCGGTATGGCTAAGGAAGTTTGACAGCTCCCCTGCATTCACATTGCCAGCGATTCTGCCATAGAAAATCCAACTCAAATGGGCCACTGGGCCTTGCACGTAAGGGCTCACGCAGAAATCCAGGCCTTGGGTGAGGAACACACAAAAAGCCGTCTCGCTTCTCACAGAATCGCTTGGAAACCCATGCACTCGAATGGCAAAAATGCAATGGGCGCGATCTGCCGATATCCCAGCGCAGGCGACCTCAAATTCTTGGCCGTGAAGCCCTTCTGGTCAAGCTGTGCACTGTGGACTGCATGCATGGGTCGCATACGTCGCGACTGTCAACAGGGTGCTTACAACTTTATAGACTATTGTCCGTCCCGTTCAGCCCCTTCGGCAGTGGGCAGAGCAGCATGCGGCCTGCGACACGCACACAACATGGCAGCCACTCCCCAAATAACCTAGCCACGTCAGAAAGGGCAGTGCAAAATCAATCTTATACAATTTCTATCATGTCACGTCCAAACATGGTAGTTCACATTATTCTCACTCTCCTTGCACCTCGAGCTCTACTATTCATATCACATCTGAGCATGCCTCCGTAAACCTCACAGCATGCTCTATCAATCCTCACATAACCCCCTTGCAACGCCCAGGTGGACATCACTTCACCCCTTCATCACCTTTCCAGCACACGCACAGCAACACAATCGAATCTGTGCTGCAACCTGAAAGATTCGCAGGAATATTCGTTCACGCCTATGGCTCCGCCTGCCATTTTCCCGCAAGACAATGTACTGCTCACAAACAAACGCTGCGACGTCATAGCCACGCCACAAACCAGCCCAATGATA